GATCTTGTTATCTCTCTGCCGCCAGACATTCTGTTCAGTGCTCACGTCATATACTACTTATGTCTACATAAGTAGCACACACCACAGTTCTACTGTACGGAGCTGAAACATGGAGAACTACAACAACCACCATCAAGAAGGTACAAGTACTTATCAATAGCTGTCTACGCAAGATACTCAACATCCATTGGCCGAATACCATCAGCAACAGCCTTCTGTGGGAGAGAACAAACCAACTTCCAGCTGAAGAGGAAATTAGAAAAAGACGATGGAAATGGATAGGACACACATTGAGGAAATCATCAAACTGCACCACGAGACAAGTGCTAACTTGGAATCCTGAATGGAAGCGGAAAAGAGGAAGGCTGAAGAACACATTACGTGGGGAAATAGAGGTGAATATTACTTACTTACGCCTGTTACTCCCAATGGAGCATAGGCCGCCGACCAGCATTCTCCAACCCACTCTGTCCTGGGCCTTCTTTTCTAGTTCCATCAAATTCTTGTTCATTTTTCTCATGTCTATCTCCATTTCCCGGCGTAATGTATTCTTTGGTCTTCCTCTCCTCCTTCGACCTTGAGGATTCCATATGAGGGCTTGTCTTGTGACGCAGTTGGGTGTTTTCCTCAATGTGTGTCCTATCCACTTCCAGCGCTTCTTCCTGATTTCTTCTTCCACTGGGATCTGATTTGTTCTCTCCCACAGTAGGTTGTTGCTTATAGTGTCCGGCCAGCGGATCTGAAGTATTTTGCGTAGACAACTGTTAATAAACACCTGTATCTTTTGGACGATGGATTTCGTAGTTTTCCAGGTTTCCGCGCCATACAGTAGAACTGTCTTGACATTTGTATTGAAAATTCTGACTTTGGTGTTGGTTGCTAATTGTTTTGAGTTCCAGATGTTCTTCAGTTGTAAATATGCTGCTCTTGCTTTGCCAATCCGTGCCTTCACATCTGCATCAGATCCACCGTGTTCATCGATGATACTGCCCAAATATGTAAAGGTTTTTACATCTTCCAAAGCTTCTCCGTCAATTGTGATTGGATTGGTACATGTTGTGTTGTATCGAAGAATCTTGCTTTTCCCTTTGTGTATATTGAGACCTATTGCTGCTGAGGCTGCAGCTACACTGGTTGTCTTCTCCTGCATTTGTTGTTGTGTATGCGATAGAAGAGCCAGATCATCTGCGAAGTCTAGATCATCCAATTGCATCCTAGCTATCCACTGTATCCCGTGCTTCCCTTCAGATGTTGATGTCTTCATGATCCAATCGATCACCAGGAGAAAGAGAAAGGGTGAGAGTAAGCAACCTTGCCCGACACCGGTCTTTACTTCGAACGAGTTTGTCAATTGTCCTCCATGCACGATTTTGCAGTTTAATCCATCATAGGAATTCTGTATGATATTGACTATCTTCTGAGGCACGCCGTAGTGTCGAAGAAGCTTCCATAGGGTTGTTCTGTCCACGCTATCAAATGCTTTTTCGTAGTCGATGAAGTTGATATAGAGTGATGAATTCCATTCAATTGATTGTTCCACAATGATCCGTAGAGTTGCGATTTGGTCTGTGCACGATCTATCCTTACGGAATCCTGCCTGTTGGTCTCGAAGTTGGGCGTCTACGGAGTCCTTCATCCTGTTTAACAATACCCTGTTGAAGACTTTTCCCGGTATTGAAAGAAGAGTGATTCCCCTGTAGTTGTCACAGTTGCTGAGATCGCCTTTCTTTGGTATTTTGACTAGAAGTCCTTCTTTCCAGTCTTTTGGTACCTGTTCCTCATCCCAGATCTTTCTGAAGAGAATGTGGAGTATCCTTGCAGTTGCCGCTACGTCTGCTTTCAGTGCCTCTGCTGGAATGCTGTCTAGTCCTGCTGCTTTGCCACTCTTGATTTGTCTGATGGCCATGCTGATTTCTTCAATTGTCGGTGCGCCAACAGCAATTGGGAGGTCCGTGAGTGCTGCTTCGATGTTGGGTGGGTTCAGTGGGGCTGGTCGATTCAAGAGTTCTTTGAAGTGTTCTACCCACCTGTTTCGTTGTTCTTCAATGTTGGTGATTACTTTGCCTTCCTTGCTTTTCACTGGTCGTTCTGGTTTACGGTGATTTCCAGAGAGTTTCTTTGTTGTTTCATACAGTTGTCTCATGTTTCCTTCTCTGGCAGCCTTTTCCGCCGTCAATGCCAAATCCTCCACATATTTACGTTTGTCAGTTCTGATGCTCCTTTTCATTTGCTTGTTTACTTCTGTGTATTCAGCCTGTGCCTTGACTTTTTCTGCTCTTGTTCGACTGGTATTGATTGCTGCTTTCTTGTTCCTCCTTTCTTGAATCTTATGCAGTGTATCGACCGTGATCCAATCCTTGTGATGGTGCTTGTTGTGTGTGGCCCAGAACCTCATGACATGTTGAAGTGATTGCCTCTTTTATCTCTTTCCAGTTGCTCTCCATAGTAGTTCCTTCTCCATTGAGTAGATCATGAAAGGCTTGGAACTTATTGCTGAGGGTTATCTTGAATTTATTGAGTTTGTCAGTATCCCGAAGAAGAGCCGTATTAAACTTTTGGGATATTGTCCTCCCCGTTGTCCAGTGCCTCTTGAGTTTCAATTTCATCTTGGCGACCAGCAAGTGATGATCTGATGCTATATCAGCTCCTCTCTTGGTTCTCACGTCCTCCATCGTCCTCCTGAACTTTTTGTTGATGCAAATATGAACTATCTGGTTCTCTGTGGTGTGGTCCGGTGAAGTCCATGTGGTTTTGTGTATGCGTTTATGTGGGAATATAGTGCCGCCTATGACCAGTTTATTGAAGGCACATAGATTTGCAAATCTCTCACCATTTTCGTTCCTTTCTCCGAGTCCGTGTCGTCCCATGATCTCTTCATATCCGGTGTTGTCAATTCCAACCTTGGCATTTAGGTCTCCCATTAGAATAGTCAGGTCTTTTGTTGGGCACTTCTCGACGATTGACTGCAGCCTATCGTAGAATTGATCTTTAGCATCTTCGTTGTATTCGTTGGTAGGCGCATAACATTGGATGACGTTCATTAAATGCCCTGTTTCTTTTTTTGAAGGAGGCTTTGATGATCCTTGGTCCATGAGATTCCCATCCTATAAGTGCATTTTGTGCTTGTTTGGACAGCATCAATGCAACTCTTTGTGTATGTGGAGCATTTTCTTGTTCATGTCCGGAGTATAACAGCAGCTCCCCTGAAGCTAGTCGTTGTTGTCCAACTTGCGTCCAATGTGTTTCACTGATCCCAAGCACCTCTAAATTGTATCTCCTCATTTCTGCAGCAATTTGGAAAACTCTCCCAGTCTCCCACATTGTGCGAGCATTCCATGTACCTAAATAAATGGTTGCTCTGGTTGTCAGAAGGGGCATCGGCCTCGTGACTTCCGAAGAAACTCGGCTTTCATCGTGAGGCGTCATAATTCTTCTAAACGAAGACCTCCTGACTCCCAGAGCAGAGTTTAAATGGTTTGAGTTATTTTTTCTGGTTAGCGATTTTTAGCGAGTTAGTTTTCTACGGGATGGGGTCGCTAACCCCATGCCCAACCCTCCTCCTTTATCCGGGCTTGGGACCGGCAGTAGCCCCCGGAAAGGGGCTCCTACTCGTATGGTGATTTTAGTTTTACTATATCTTGATGTTACAAAGGCTTAGAGAATGACAAAATGTAACAAGGTTATCAACCGAATGCATTTGGATGTTTCATCTCTGCTTAAGTGCATTTCAAATACATAAATAAGAACACAACCTGTAGAATTCAATCATCCAAAATAGCAGACTCAGGGCAATCTAGGGTATTTTATTCATCAGTGAATGACAAAAATTACAAAGTGATGAACAGTGGACTTAAATCCTTCATCTGGGGCATTATATACTGTTAAAAAGACTGTTTTTTAAAAAATACAAGATAATGTAAACAGTTTCGGTGTACTTGTGCATAACTGTTTTCAACAGTTTTTAATTTTTGTATGACAAAATATCGATTGGACAAAATTTATATTCTTTATTATGTATAAGCATCCAAGTTGAGCTTATTAAAAAGTTAAGATTACTTAATCAAGAAACTTGAATCTTTTGTTGATTAGTTTTTTTTGCTTTCCAGAGTTACGAGTGCCCAAGGATACGATGACAATTCCAAAGGCTAAGAATTAGCTGCCTACTGACTAATTACCTACTTTCACATCGGTATATCAACAGGTGGTAATAATTCTCTCCATACATTTTTAAGAAAAGAAAAGTGATTCAATGGTTAAGACCATGAGTCAGTTGAAGCTAGATAACCATAGAAAACCTGGAAGCACTGGACGGCCGTCTCGTCCCGTCATGGGACTCCTCAGCAGTGCTCATCCACGACCTCGCCCCCCGCGAGACTTGAACCCAGGACCTACTGGTTTCGTGCGCGAGCGCTTAACCACTAGACCACTGAGCCGGCGTCCAACGTTGTTAATGTCTAACTTCAACTAATCCACGAAATTGAGCGACACATCCACCATTGTCTTCAGTGAGTTACTATCTCACAACAGACCTGGTTGAACTCCACTGGTCACTACTTCTCACTAGAACTCCAGGATATACCTCTTGAAGCCAGTCACTGGTGAACATGTGTTGGATGCCGGCTCAGTGGTCTAGTGGTTAAGCGTTCGTGCGCCAGACTGTTAGGTCCTGGTTTCGAATCTCGCAGGGGGCGAGGTCGTGGATGCGCACTGCTGAGGAGTTCCGTAATAGGACGAAACGGCAGTCCAGTGCTTCCAGGTTCTCACTGCTGATCTAGCTTCAACTGACTCATGATCTTAACCATTGAAATTACTACAATCTTCACCAAACCCCTTCTGATAAAAGTGATTCACCTATGAAACTTAAAATACCTGAATTAATAACTAGAAAAACATATACTACTTATATGTTTTAAGTAAGTTAAAGTAATATCAAAGAAATTGAGAAATTATCTCAACTTCTAAAGATGTATCAGATCAACTTTGGATTAAAGTTTTTCATAGGTAGACTCTCAAAAATAAATGTAAGATACTTTGTAAAAATCACAAAAAACGCCAAGCAAAAAATACATGATAAAATTTAATTGATATACGTTATTTTTGAATTGTGCGATCTAAGGGATTATAAAGTTGACTTATCAGAAAATTGAAAAATATACCTATATAAAAGCATAGTTCACACCGTTATTTTGATTTTAAAAAAGTAAAACTTGCAATTTTTAATAAACAACGGATTTTATAACACAAATGCCACCCCCAACGTGAACAATATTATTATAAACTGCTTTTAAGTTGCCATTGTCCAAAATATTCATAGAATGTGAACAAAATGAAAAATCAAACGTTACTTTCACTTCTCATTTAATTGCTTTACTTTAGGATTTACTGTTAAGCTTGAATTTAGCCAAGAAAAGCGATTACTTGAAATCGGTAGTCTACTGAATGTCTGTAGTTGTGGATCCGTATTAACTCGTAAATTGTACAATTGATTCATAAGTAATTTATTGATTGTACTCGTCCATAATTCTTTCACTGTATTATCGTTTGATTTAAATGTGTACGTGGATCCATAGTTTTCGGTAAATAGTGAGAAACATCGATCATGTGAATTTGAAAATAATCCAATCTGATGTAGCTTTTAGAAAAATACAGAAATACAGAGAAAATATGATTCATTTGTGATATGTTTTTCATTATAAATGTGTTCATGGAGAAATGACAGTGAGTCATTTTTTCCAGTAAAGCAATAGACATTATAATGATGCCAATTCGATAGTATCAACAGTTATTCAATACTTCGTAGGTAGCCAGTGTACACATCGTCTTAAGTCAAAATTGTTCATAAGTGTCAATTGCTAAAATCATGTGAATTATCACACAAACAATCAAGAAGCAATTAGCTTCATTTTGATTGATCATCTTAAGAGTTGTTCAGTAACGACACACTTTTATAATTCTGTTCTAGTTTAAAATGATTTCGAATAATTTGTACTTGTTTTAACTCTTTGACTCAAAGTTGATTTCATGAAGTATACAGACTTATAAATAATTTATGACTTGGTTTTAAAAGTTTATTAATGTTGAAGATGTGAATTACTGACTACTAACTCAGCAGTTCGGAGGTAAAACACTAGCAGCTAATTCCGGAGACCCCAAGTTTGTTCTCTGTTCAGGTAGGGAATTCGCTCTCCTGAAGATTAACGTATCTGGATATAACAACTGTTAAGTGTATTCTGTTTTTCAAACGCTGTTTAACTAAACTTGGTCCATGATGTAAATTACGAAGTCGACAATATTCATAACTACTTTTACTGAAAAATTAAAAAGAACCTGTACTTACGCAAAGTTCTTCTTCTACTTCATATAATTTACTACCACTGGGCTTACTATTATGTGAAAAATCAAAGAATGCTAAATAATCATCCAAATTTGGAAACTGATCTTCAGAGCTGAAAAATAAACAATTACAGTATAACATTCAGTAAAAACGATGATTACCCCTTATTATTAGAAATTGATGTTTTAAATGAAACACGGTATTTTGTCAACAGTAACATTTCAGTAAATAAGATTACATGAAAATGTCGTTTTGACTTTGTAGGTTTAATCGTTTGGTTAACAGTGAAATCAGCTTCTAGCAAAAAATGTCCTAACTTTGATGGCGCTACCTGGAAATGAAAGTAAAATGATGGTAGTTTTAGAAGTAGACTTAAAATTGAACAGACTGTAAAGCAAACATGCAAATTTATAACTAGTCAGAAAGTGATCCATGAGTCAAATTACGTGACTGTTGTTGATTGAATCTATGCGTAATTAAAGTTTGTAAATTATTAGCAAATAATAAATTAATATAGAGGTTCTGAGGAGAGTGTTAAATTTTCATAGTTTTGATTGCGAACTGAATTTGTTTAGACGACGATTAAAAATCAAAAAGCACTGGACAGACGTTTTGCCTCAGTATAAGACTCGTCAGCGGTGCGTATCAAAAAAACACCACAAGAAATAGGACTCATAACTTTTTCCTTGAAGCAACAGCTAAACCCTTAGACTACTGAGCCGAATTCTGTTAGTTTAAATATCTGTTTTCAATCAGTTTGCAGTAATGCACTGAGATTTTCCGTTACCTTATATGGATAACTGGCTCCCTCTCGAAATGGTTAAACTTCACTTGTCGCGACTGTCCAGTGGTTCCTGGTCTTTAGGGTTATTCTAAACAAAATCGGTCAGTAATATAAACTATGAGAAAAAAATTAACAAATAAAAATGTACTCGTTTGATTGGAAATGGGTTGTAAAATTCAGTATCATTCTATTTTACCTGATGGATACGGAATAAATAATTATAAAAAGTAAACCCATTCATTTATGAACCAAGAATGATTTACTAAAAAGACCATGTATACTGATATTAGTTTTAATAAAACAAAACTTATCTATCTAAATGATGTATATTCAGTCTGATCTGTTTTCTATGGCTGACAATAAGATAAACACTTTTCTGAGGTACATAAAATGAACACTTTAATTCACGTTCGTATTTATTTCTCTTCTGCCTCCATCCTACTCAACCTTCTTGACTACGCATACATTTTCCTTAATTTATATGGTTTGTTATTATTATTAACATAAATACCTCGACATTATATTTCTCTTATTTTATATCAAATTCATATGACTTTACTAACCATCTTAAAGATTTTTTTCTTGGCACTTCATATATAAACTTTACTAATGATATATTTTTCAGAGTTTTTAGCCGCAAAATAATTCAACCATAACTCATTCATATTTCCCTTATATAATGGCTATTTTAATACATAAATAAGGAATTTATAATTGTAGTCCATAATGATGAAATACCATTTTGTTTATGAAATTCAGATTAAAGAGAGCAAGAACAAAGATTGATGCACCAATCTTTAAAATAATAGAAGGAACTATGTGTATGAAATTCAGATTAATTGATCACCAATAAATATATGCAACCCTCAATCTCAGTAAACTATAAAATTATCACAGTCTATCTAAAAGATTATAATAATGATTATTTATTCATAAACCTGTAGTTAAATAAAATAATGATATTTATCAGAATAAACTGAATTCCAACTTCTATATACAATAGTAAATCTTAAATAATGTTTTATTTGTTTTATTGAATAAGTTAAATTGAGATATATATAAAAATGAAATAGGATCTTAAATTATCTAATCTTCAGATCAGTAATGTTTGAACAGTATATGGTATCACAGCACACATTACAGATATAAATAATTTTTATTGTTGATACAAATTAAAAATTGTATAACATTGTAACTCTTGTTAACTTAGTTCGACTTAAGCGGAATTCCACATTTTTTTCAAGTTTCATAAGAGAACAACCAACACTAAATCGTTACCTAGATAACGGTGAATTTCTACTTTTCTACTGGATAATTGGTGTATGAAGTATCTATATTTCTTAAATGCAGTTGACTGTTCATTATCAATGAGTGAATCAATTCGATGTATATAGATTGTTGATCTTTAATAAGGAAAGCATAATAACTTATAAAAAAGGTCATGATAATATTTGTTGGTAATTACCGTCAAACCACGCAGATTCATTGTCACATTTACTGTATCACATATTCTGTTGAATATTTGACGAGCATCGTCTAAGTATTTACTTAAATTTTAAAAAAACAAATATTTTAAATTTAAATGATTATAAATGTTAAATATAGATTTCGGACTTTAAAAAAACTAAGAATGATAAAATTTGTCGTTTTATACAAGAGTTACAAAAATTAATTAACCAACAGTGTTGCGTATGCCTGAACACCCATTACCACGACGCACAATGCTGACTAGTGTTGAAAACGGTTGGAAGAAAGTTATGGGCGGACAAACCAAAACATGGCATCAGTCCATAAAGTCACTAACTTGTGGTCTGAGTCGTGTTGGTAGATGCAGAGTACTTGGTTAGGATCCGCACGACTATCGTAACCAAGGGTTGGAGACTCTTGGTGAAATGGCTTAGAATTGACCACAATCGCGTAGGTGTGTACACTCTCTGTCTTCCCTTAAACCATGAGATTGGAATTACTTTATACCTTTCTTTCTACCAACTCATTCTTTCTTCCTTTATTATATCTTTACACACAATCTTTTATACATTACTACCATTGAAGTAACTACTTCTATGAATTGGGTGCTCATCTTGTTGTGCTAATGAGGTGTGGCAACTTGGACCGATGCATATATGTGCCTGGTCCTACATTGTATCTGACTGACTGACGACTGTAAGATAAGTAACATTAACATTCTGGTAAGGTTAGATTGAAAATGTAGGTTTATTTCCTTTTTTATTAAAGCAGTATGCTTTGAATATTTATCGAATTTCTGAAGATAGTGACCAATTTTGAAGAATTATCTTTGTAAATATGACATTAATGACAAATTCCATACCATTATTCTCTGTTATACTGATATATAAAATGTATTTAATGATGAGTATTCTGTGTAATGTCTACTGGATTTCAAAACTAATATTGTGTTTCATTAAATAGTTTTTCGCCAGGATTACTAAAAATCTCAGAATCAGAACATTGAATAGATTAAGTTTTGCTTCAGTCGCTTAGCGACATAAAGAATATTTGAAGCTACCAGTCGGAATATCAGAATAGTAACGTTTTCATGACAAGGATGACGAATTTTACCCAAATTTCTAAACATTTAGGAGGTACATTTTTTAAAAATTACCTTGGGTTAAATTCGCAATAAAGTTAATCTACTTAAATGGACCATTCAATGATCGATAGGTAACACTATGTGAAAATACATTTACTTACTCAATGTTCTTCAATTGTCGGAATGATTCTTTCACTTTCTCAATCTGTGCCTTCAAACCTGCATTAGATCCACCTTGTTTATCAATAATACCACCCAAGTACGTAGAAGTTTCCTCCTCTTCCAGAGCTGGTTGGTGCACGCTGTGTTATATGTTAGGATCTTTTTCCTTTTGAATGTTGATGGCTACGACTGCATAAGATCGCGCTACATTTGTTGCCGTATATATGGTTGAAGGGCTAAGTGAACTGTAAAGTCCAAATCATATAGCTCGGTTCAAGGTGTCTACCTTATTTCGTACTCTCCTTGAGATGTAAAGATCTTAATAATCCAGTCAAAAGACCGGAAGGGAGAGAAAGGGTGATAGTGGGAAGTTTCTTCTGATACCAGTTTTGACTTGTAGTGAATCTGTGAGCTATCCTCCAGGGACGACTTTGAAGTGTGGCCCATTATTAGGATTCCGTATGTTGGCGACGATCTTCTCAAGTACTTTATAATTTCAATGCTTTCATATATACGCTATCTTATGCTCTCATAATTGAGAAGGTTTATGTATAGTTATGAGTTCCATTCAATTGATTCGCTCAGCTGTTACTGAGTAACCTCGACTGGTCTTTCGTTCTTGTGAATATTTCCTAAACTGTCTACAAAAACCTATTCTTTGTACTGATACTCTTTGAAGTCCAGCACCTCCTAATGTGTTAAATTAATTGTCTCTGTAATCCCTTTTCCATAGAAGTCTCCTCATTTTCTAGTACATCTTGTAAGGGAACTTGTTTATGGGAGCTATCTAATTCACTATCAACCTACACATTGTTATTTCGAGTTTTCAAATGCTGACAAGCTTGTTTCACATTGACATTTGGATATTTTATTAACTTTAATTGATTACCATGTATTGGTTAGTGTTGCACAATATGATTACTAGCGTTAATTGTACTATTTCGATAATGTTTACGTCGCGTCCACCAGTTTTATTGATTCGACCTGTGTTAAACATTGTGTGATGTTGATTGTCTAAAGTTAATCAGGGGGGACATCCTCAATTTTGGTTTGGTATTGAGCCGAATTTATGATAATTCTTAACTGCAATCTTGTTAAATTAATTAACACCCAAAATCACTAACTCAGTTTCTTATAGATGCTAAAATTATATTACATGGGTGGCGACTCATTCCAAATGTGACTGAAATATTTGTACTAATCGGTTCGTCAGTCTGTCATCGAAACCAATAAACAACTTAACCTGATCAGTAACATTAAGTTATAAATCCTTAAAAGAATGAAAGTTTAACAGAGAATATACCGCAATTACTGGTTGATTTATCGAAAACCTTAGTCAAACTTACATATCAGATAAGTTCGCTTCTTCTTGAAGTTTATTCAATAATACATGATAAGATTGAATATGTCGTACAGGTTTGCTTAGTTGACATTTGAATAACTCGGTATCGCTGTTGTAATTTCCAATTGTTTCATTTGTTTTTTTTAATACTACACTTTTACATGAAACGTTTCCTAAATAAGTACATAGTCGTTTTGTCTTTTCATGGAATAAACAGTACGTAGTATATTGGTCAATGAAGCAAGGTGCCTAAATTTTAAAAGAAAACGACGAAAAAATGTATATAGAGAATAAAATCTAAAGTGATGAATAGAAACATTTCAAACCGAAAAATTTTGTTTATCTTAATTGGTACGTGCGTTGATCTCACCAGGTTTTAATTACCTTCAATCTCATTACCAAATCATGAAAGAATGTCCAACGACAGCTGCTCCTTTAGATATTTCATGAATTTATACAATCTGACTCGAGTTAAATCGAAGTTTCATGCAAAATATAATTCACGAAATCCTTCTTTACTGTCATTCATGTGTAGACAAATTATTTTTTTAAGCAATTAGTCCATTTGATAAATTTTGGTAGTGTAATAAGATAAAGATCATCAGAACCATATGATATATTAAAGTAACACATTTCGAACAATCTGATCACACATAAGCTCGTTAAGAACATTTATATATAAAAATAAAAGGCCAACTAGACTAGAAATGGAGAATATCATTAAGCGACCGGCAATTTTTTAAATTTTTTTTCACCCCTTTAAAAAGTTTTTTCAACCCATTTTCCAAAATTTTTCACCACGTTTCGTCCAATTAAATTGCTAGTTCTAAATTCGTTAAGGGTAAGAGGAGATCGCGATTATTCCTCCCTATATGATCATAAAATTAGGGTGTCCAAACATGTACATAAATGGTTGCAAACACAAATAAAATCAAATGACCCAATAAGGATAAACACCCATCATCCTCTATTGTGAAACACATCATTGAAACAGGTCATAAGATTAATCTTAATTAGGCTTTTGTCGTGTTGTACAAAAGTATAAAAGGTCGTATACTGAGGTTTATTGAAGCCTTAACCATACGAAAATTCAAACCTCGTTTGTGTATTCAAAAACAGTTTGTTCACACCTCAAACCTACCCTGGTAATATTAACCTAATATCCAGAATGATGAGGTTTCAAATTGCTATCACATTATTTTTTTTATTATCTTTGTCTTCTCTTACCCTCCATTTCTAGTCTAGTTGACTTTTTATTCTGATAATTCCTGTTTATTGAAAATCTAAATGTAATACTTATTTATAAATTAATTCAACATGACGGTTACACTTTCTTAACTGTACCATTTGATTACAGTAACAACAACTCAGTAATATCCCTTTCCATTGATTAACACCATTTATCCTTAAGCGATGTTCCTTTTATTTGATAGCATGTTTATATTTGAGAACTCACTAAATCGGAACAACACAACAGAAATAATAGTTCAGCAGCAGATTTCTAAGGGAACTGTTATGCATAAGCCAATGAATATTATATTCTGAACGGACAGTCAACCGATTTCCATTTGAACAGCCGAGTAAACTGATTAACCTCATATTTTGTGTTTAACTAAATGAATTGAGTTAACAGTACAACAATCAGAATACTCTGTTTTATTAGGTACTAACTTCTTATTTTATTATAGCAGAGAGAGAGTTTCAATTTGGTCTATAATTGTTTATTTGACTAACAGTCATAGAATAGATAAACTATTTGTCAGATGTTGATTTATTGCAAATGATTTAATTTCTACAATGAATCTCAAAGAACTGAGAGTAATTTTATAGTCCAGATAAGTTTAGAACCGAATAGATTCGGTTAGAAAACTTTTAAAATAGGGTTTTTGATTATAGCAATATTCTTCACTTTTTGTGGTGGATAGAATCAAGTAGGTTAATCAATTATTCGTATGTTGAGAAAAGCCTGACATATCATATAATATCTCAGTTGAGATGAGAATGTAGGCAAGCTAGTGTCGATGGGCAAATCATTTATGTAACTGAAGTCAACCTCTGCGTATCGCTATTCGAGTCGATGTGGTCGCCTGTAAAATATGCATAAATTGTAGAAATCATTGTCTGTTTTTAGAAATAAAGTCGGTTAAACATTCTTGGTCTTCACGTTCTCCATAGCTAGTCTTTACAAGATTTAAGAGTTTGTGCAATGAATGCGTAAAACCACAGACTGTAACAATTCTTTCTCAATAGAATAAACCTTCGAAGAATAAACTTTAAGTGGATATACATAATTGAGGATTACGGCTATCACTTGGCTACTAATATATAAAATGACTTGGAAACTAATTACGAAAAAGAACATACCATGACAGAAGCCCAATATTTGATCATCTTAGCATTTCCATTGCATTCTTTCAATGTAGATAGAACATGTCTGTAATGTATATCATAGTGGGGAAAAAGTTTTGTTGTTTAAAGGTGTAGAATCCCTGAGAAAATATTTTAGTTACATTTTTCGTCTACTGATTTGAAAAGGACAAGTCAAATTACCCGAATAAATTCGGTAACTTGGATCTACATATTTTTTTCAAAGAAAATTATCATGTAAATTGAAATCAATAAATAAAATACTTCCCAGTGAGTCGAAACATTCTATTTTTCTTCAGATAAATTTATTACGTAATGACAGTCACTTCGAAAAGTTTCACCTAACAAAAGTAAACTTTATTATTAATACAGTTATTGAGTATGTAGTGCATAACATTCTACTGAACGTCCCTGTGGTTACTTATCTCAGCTAATAGAGTTACGTTTGCAGCTATCACTAAAGTAGCTAATGAGTTAGTTGCTAAGCATCTGAGTATAAGTACTCACTGGCTTGTTTAACAGATATTATATTTATCATTCATAAGAGTTTTTGATTTTCCCGTTGTTGACATCCAGGGTTGGGTCTTAATAAGTCTGTATGATGCATGTGTACTCTGAGCTTCAAGATATTGACAGTAATCATATATCATGTGAAAACAAAATCTAAATATTTCAACTGTAGACAGTATCACAGATGTTCGTTGAAGGTGTACACATTCCAAATGGGACTAATGAAAAATTATCGCCTGAACATCAACTTCAGGAATTATTCATAATATTAAAAATTTAAGATTGAAAACTGTGTTACTTAACAGTGAAAACAAAATATCTAATTTTAATTACAATAAAAACAGTTCAACTCAATGTCCATTAATTCTTGATATAATGAGATGAAAAGTCGAAATTCGATTGATTTACTCATTATGAGTTTTGTTCAACATTACTTCCGTTCTGAGTCAATGTGATGATCATTCAGTGTGGTATTTGGTTTTCTTTTTTCGTATGATATTTTGTTCTGTATAATATACAATATTCTTGTATTTAATTGACATGAACTATGCTCTATATGTGATTTGTGATAACTGAGTATTTTTCATGTATGTGATTTCATCCTTATTGTTAATCAAAATGGGTGTACAATCAATAAATAAATGAGTGTATTTTCGACTACGGTCGACGTCATCGAGTTTTGGGGGTAATAAATCTTCACTTATACTAGTCTTTGTGTTCTTACTCTCGCGTCATGGGAACTACAGAGTGAAAAGTGTTTCCAACCCAATAATCAATGACGATCACATATAACAAGTAGCGTTCAATCGACAAGACATATCACTTCTTATTTAATTTTCAAGATAAGACAAATATAAAGAAACTGTTTTCAACAACTTTAAATATTCTTATTGAATTTTAAATATTAATCATGTGACAATATTTAAATATTTTCAATTCTCCACGCATTCATAAGTGTTATTGATCTAATAATTGATTTGTCAAAAGAATTAACTATAATGTTTTTTAGTTAAGTATTAATTAACCATTATAGTCTAGTTTAGACTACTTATACTATCTGAAAAACTAGACAATTTACAGGTTATAAAAGATGAACATTATGTTAAACATTAAATCGGTGCCCAAATACTGTGAAACTATTTGATCAAATTTAAACAAAAGTTCTTTTATATATGATGTTAAACAATTGTAAATAACTTACATTTTATGAAATGAAAGTAATTCAGACCAATTCCCAAGTAATTTCTGTTTTAATTGAGTAAGTGGAATCTGTGTAATACCAACTGATGTTTTACAATCAATTTCTTTGTTCATCATGACCTTCTGAATTTTAAAATAATTCAATTGGTATATACGAAATAAAGACAAAAGTTTTTGTGTTAATGATAGAAATAAGCATGAAAAATTTTTTTAAACAATATTTTATCAAGAACTGAAATGAGTACAACAAACATCAGCGCTTGGATCCACGTACTTTTAACTGATGGACTACAAATGGGACGAAGTAGGCTCTTTAGATTTTACTTTTAACAGCCCTTCAAATCCATTTAAACTTACTGAAAAAGATTGTAATGAAGCGGTTCGCTCAGGAGGCATATATACGTACATAAATTGATCAGTTTCAGTTAAAGTTTAATTATACAGAACTGTAATGAAAATAACATCAACTAGGTGGTTAAACGTTTTAGATTTTCTTGAAATTTTAGTGGTTGACTGGCTTAGATAGTCACTTTCATCTATTTAGACATATCTACTTGTTTTAAGTAATGTTATTTAAGTTTAATTGTTAAACATAGTAATAGGATACTCTAATTTATTAGCTTTCATTTAATTGCTTGATTTTACCTCATACTTCTGCTAATTGATTTGTAGTAGTTGGATGAAAACTTTTTAAGGTTTGATAACTTTTAATCTGTTAAGTTAAACCGTTATTCCGGGAACAGCAAAAATAAATATCGTAATAAAAATCACTAGTTTATCTTTGGAGGATTATTGACAAACTCTAGCAGTCGACAGAGGCTAGTCATTTTCAAATGACTCGTTTTTAATCAGAATAATCTGAAATATTAAATTTTCATTTCTTAATGTTAACAACAATATTCAAACGTCACATAGTTTTCTTGCAAGGAGGTGATAAGACATGAAAGTTATCAACCAACTTACTCATGTATTTATTTTAGTATCACCTTAGAATAATGGTTCTAGAAACAACACAGATTCTATGATGGCTGTATTTAGAATATTAGAATAAACGAACCAAAGCATATAAAATGGGTTCATATGATCTAGGTGTTAGTTGGTAATCATTCAGCTTAATGACAGTGCTCCTGAATGGATTATTTAATAATTCAACTTAAAAATCTTGAAATTTGTTATTCATTTTGTCAACATGTATTAAAACACAATTAACCAGGTAACGTAACCCTTAAACTTATCCAGTTGAACGGTAAATAACTAAAACCGATATAAACTTGTACATAATTTAACCTGAACATCTAAAAACGCGTTTATACAAAAACATGTATCCCCTTAAACTAATGAAAGTTCTTACTACACCTTAAACAGTTTGTAATTGTGAATTCATTTAAAAAAATCTGACTATAGCATAAACAAAAATATTCACTTACATCATAAACATCTTGTAATAAATGGATATACTTATTTTCTGTATCCAATAATTCCATCCAAGCTAAGTGATATGCAACATTCACAGTCATCAGTAATCAGATATTCATAAAAAGATATTTATCAATCCATATATTAATTAATAAATATTCAAATTTCAATTATACAACATCTCTCTTATCGAATGATTAGTTTCCTTTATTGTATAATGTAGACAGATTTCTTTTTGTTTTTGTTTTTTTGAAACAGGAAACAAATGATGAATATAACAATAAGATGCTATAAACAATCCAATATTATTTGATAATTAACGAGGTTGATATTGTAATTCAACAGAAGTTTATTTAAATCAAATACATTAAAAATGTCATTACTATAACTTTAAAATGAATTAAATTCTATGAACTTAATATACATATATATATATATATATATAGAAAGGATTGAAGTATTAACTGTATTAAATTAACCATTGGTCTTTTAGTTTTTAAAATACTACGAAGTACTTGTTAGAAGAATAAATAAGCTGTATATATGCAGATTCAGTAATATAGTTGTGTTGACTAATATCTAGAACATTTGAATTATAGTAAGAATTATTATCATTAAGATCAATGAAATAACCTGAAAAAATAAACAACACTTACTTGTGAGTGTCTTATATCTCAATTCATATTTCACGTGTTTATATAATAAGTATTAACTGATATTATCTATATATTTCTTTAAGTGTTCATGATTTCATTAGTGTGAATATACACTCATTGTATTAGAGAATTCAAACTGAGAATATACTCAATAAATATTACAGTTTTATAATTCTCATACTGAATTCTACTCATTTAATTAAAAATTATTATATAATCGTAAATGTATGAATAAAATATGAAAATTGAGTACTTTATATTAGATAAGTAGTGTTACTTTGGTGTTATACTCCAACATAAATAATCATTAGAGTAGATACTATTTATACATATAACTACTAACTAATCTATTACGTAAATAAAGAAGGAACGAATCGAGCGAAGAAATTTCTTTTCAATTAGTTTTTCATCATGGATCTACACTAATATACGTATGTATGATTTACGATAATGAAATAATACTCACCGAGTGAATACGTAATAATTATATGATGATATATATCGATATATCGATTATAAATTAACATTGAGTAATTGGAAGAAAGGTGACTAATAATAATCAAAGTAATTATTTGAAAATCAGTACAAATTCATGTACCATTACGATATATATTAATACCTGAGTCTCGTTAAATTCGGTAACTCTTTAGTTGGTGTGTTGAAATATTTTTAAGGAACCGTGAAATAATAATTAATGCTTATCAATTTCACTCTTTAGCTTGTTAATTGTTGGATGATTAACAGATTTTGATGAAATTCATCTTTATGTCTTAAAATCTACAGATAATGAAATTGTTCCAGATAAAACGTTTTTATTTTTATTTGAGCTACTGATTATTGTTTTAGTAGATACAAATGATTATGCAAAAAAGCAGGTGATTTAAAAAACTTTCGAAGTTATTATGAAAAATCAACTTGTACGCTCAAATATTCTTCTAACTAAATCGCATTATTTAATGAAAAATATTATTTTACTATCTAAAACTTAAACTGACACCTGATCGACTGATATTTCTAATATTGCTGGTATTAAATCGTTTGATAATAAACTATTTTGAGTTTGTCAGTTTGTGAACTAGTTCTTAAAGCATATTATTGACTAGCTGTGATTTGATTAATTAAAAGTTTTGATAAAAAATCTGATGTAAAATAAATCACGAGTAAATTCGTTTTATAAAAAGATTGTTTTAAAGTTTAAGTCATCGAGATTACAGCCTAATGATCCATATACTGACTAATTTGTTTTCATTTCATATAACGTGGATTTCATAAACTTCGTGGAAGCTTCAAAAAATTTCTTTAGCACTTATAGAAAATAGTAAATAATCAAGTTTTGTATTCTCTGGCTTCAGAGAGCTTTTGTCCCAATAGAGTTTTTTACTTTCCCGGGTGCTCACATTAGTAGGTTCGAGTAAGTTTCAAACAGAAAGATGAAGAACACCTCTACTAAGGAGAGATACTGTTCAAGATGTCTGGTTGATGAAATTAAGCAAATCAACTAAAATTTATTGAACAGAACTGTTAAATCTTTACGAATAAGCTCGTTATTGAATGCAAGAAAATCGGGTCATCTCACAATAAAGGGAAAGTGCAGAGAAAAGTATTGAATAATATCCTAGTATATAATTAGTTTGAAATCCAACCATAAAAAGTAAAATTGTTATCAAGTTGCTGAAAGATAAATAGACATATGTAATGCATACCACTAGATTACAGAATAACAGTTTTGTCTTAATTTGGATTCCTTTAGAAGTGTATAACCATTATTGTATCCTAAATTAAGTTTAAAAGATCCAAGGTGTCAAAGTGACCAAAAATTTGTTGTATCCGCCTGTGTAAAACTAACTTCCCACAACAAAAATCCATGTATAATTGTCATAAGACATTATCAATATCTATCTAGCTTCATCAATCAGTAAATATATGAACTTCTTTAACAATTTTATTGTTAAATGAATAGGTGTTGTAAAAGAAAAATAATCTATAATGTTTTCTGAACGAAATTACACAAAATGCTACTGCATATTACATATTTCATGATACGACCTTCTTGTAACATACTGTCATTATTCTGAGAAATTTAATAATTAATGAATAGTTTTGGACTATTATCTTAAAGATTATTTGTTTCTTCTGTTTCACAACGTGAACCTTGTCGTTATGCAGAATTATTGATAATCGTTAGAAAAGTAAGTCCAAAATCTATTAAATAGTATAAGTTATTTTTCTAGTTAAAAAAGTACGTATTGTCATATATTTAAGCTACAAAATTGCAAAGTCAATGAATTTATAATGTCAGGTATTGATTAATTCAATAATGAATTCACTAATCTACAGAGAAATAATAATCACTTTTATTCTGATTTAAATATATCAGTAAACTTGTATGAAGTGAGTACAGTATATTAGAAATGGACATTGAGAAACATCAAAGTTATCTTTCGTAAATTATCATTAAATTTAATCACTTAGGGAAGATAGTTTCATTTATTTAAGTCTTGACGATAAAGGCATTTAGTTCTAAACTATTAAGTATCGAGTTCGAATCATGTTCCACCTACATCTGTTTTAGGTAACTGGTAATGGTCTGGCCTTTATACAAAGTGTGGGTCAAATCCGAGTAAATTAATGTTTGCTTCGTAAATAAGTTATTGTCAACTATGGTATTTACAACTGAAATCACTTATTGGTCACTGAAGAATTTCATTTGTAGCATTGTATAGTTCTGTTATCACAGAACTTCATTAAATAAATACTCAAAACACCCATTAAACTAAGTGAATTCCGGGATAGAATTAAGGTTATTAGTTGCGTTGACATAATGTGTCCTAGACAAAATATTTATAACTTTTATGAGCAGCCTTTCTGAGCACATTCGTGAAACTATATGAAAGTATCATTCTGATGGTCCGTTTGTCACTAACTTCAGTAACAATTCTGTGTATTTTGAGGTTGATTATTTCCGAAACACAATGAAACAAATTTTCCTAATGAATTACAACAGGTGCAACAATGCAAATACATGAATCTGATAACCTACACATGAGCTTTTCTAAAGGAATAAAAGAATCTTGAAGTAAAAATAAACTGTTGATTCAAAATTTATAGCAAGAAGTAAGTTTCCTATGCATCTCAATTTCAAAATCTGATCTTATATTTATGAAAATCATCTGCACAGGTAGTTTTTACGAATTTACATCCAAAATATTGTCTGTTTCATATTTAGAATACATCACCTATTATTACATGCATAAAATATAGGTTGTTTTTTACTGATTCGTCTGTTCGGTGATCCATAGTCATGACTATATTGCAAAGATATTTACGTCAGAGTTTGGTAGATTCATTATGTGCTCAATTAAAACATAAACACAGTAATTGTCGGCTTAAGTTACTAACATGGTTTCTACCTAGCTTTTCTTTGTTGAATTATATTTGAATAGAATGACTGAGACAACCATGACAGTACTGTATGCTATATGTGTAGCCTAGTAAAATGTCTATCAACTTTGCGAATGTTCAAGATATTTTTTTCAGGGAAGTGGTGCATAAGCTTAACCACTTGTCCAGATAGTAAGAGTTCCTGAATGACTAATTGTAAGGAGTTTTATAAAATTATGTCTTTGAATCTAATTTCCATGATGAATTACCGTGAAAATTCAAAAGGTCCTTATATTTGAGAGGTTATAAGTACTAGTGGAAAATAACAGTGGTATTCTGTTTCTTTGTCACACACACTGACGTTTCTACGACAGTTTGCCAACAGTGAAATACTGCATTTAGTTCGACTTGAAGCTTATGATTGTTGAACGCCCATGTTTCCTTCCGTCCAATCAATAGTAACTTCGTCATGATTTTCGTATAAGATGGTAATGCTACGTGAATAATATTTGGATTTAGGGACATGTAGAAAAATAACACCGAGAGTCGTTCAATCTAATGAGTAATAGTACTGACTTTGAATGACAATATATATTTCAGATATGCTAAATAAAGATGAAAACAGATTAAGATAAAGGAAATATTCAAGTTATCATATGATTTGAAGAATTGATGGACAGTTGAGTTATGCTGAATAACTAGGTAGTAACTCGACGATTATTGATTCCAAGGATCGAGGTGTGGCAGAAAATCAAAGCCAATCGCATTGCTATTTTATTTATTATTTATTGTATATGAACAATACAACTATGAGGGGAAAAAACTACCATGAATGTACTTCAAGCAGTTATCCTGTGTTTTTTTACTGAAGACTGTTTTTAGAATATGTTCAAGTTAAGGCCTTTTAGTTTGTACTTATGAACATTTAGTATAACTCATCCATCACTCTACTGGATTGTCTGTTTTAAATTATATATGAAGTACTTAATTATTTATTTCATTCTCATTTCTCTAGATTAAAGTAACGGTTGCATAAACTTCAACAATTAAAACGCTTTTCTTTCATCTTTGTTATCATTAGTGAACAGTGTTACCCCTTTTATTTAACATATTCATATTCGGCATACTGTCAGCTTGAAAATATAAAAGACTTACTAAGCAAATTATATTGTATTTGAATAACATTTTTAAACGG